TATTTGGGAGCATTTGTGCGAGTGCATAAATTGTTGTCGTGCGACCAGTTTTCATTGCAAAATGTTCAGCGAATGCGCGCATTTATGGAGCTAAAAATAAGCCAAAACAATCTGAATTTGAATTGTGTTAAATTGAATTATAACAGTTGTAATTTAATAATACTGATTATGTCCTATTATAAATGTTTTGAATTTGTATTTCTTATCTTGATTATTGAACATTTGAAATTTAAGACAACTTCATTTTTTAAGTCAGATTTTTATAGACATATTTTCAAACCTTAAACGACAATCCAATGACTGTAAAACAATAACAATGCACAGGAAATATCATGAACGACTGGTCATGAAAGTTTGGTACTACAGCCAAACAAAATCTTTCTGTAAGCTCATTTTTTAAGATTTCAACTTTAGGTCGAAAGAGACCAAACTTAAAAGCATACTTCATCGAATAACTCAACTTTTTTAAATGTATTTTTTAATCATTTTTGGGTAAATGATTTTTGGGTAATTTTTGGGTAAACTATCCCTATGTTCTAAAGTGCTCATCAATTTTTTTTTTAAATAGCACAATGGATTTAGATGTGAAAAAGTACATACAATTTATATAAATGTAATTAACCGTGGTTATTAGGTGCTGCAAAAGCATACAAATGCACCTTGAAAGTGCATGAAAAGTGCTGGAATTTGAAGTTAGAAAAGGTGTAAGAACCCTAAAAGGGCCTAGATTAAAAGAACATGGCCAAAGAGAGCTTTTCTATCATAACTATAGTAAAACAACTTGTCAAAAAGAATAATAAAAAATGAAACCCTGCAAACAGATTAAATACAGGAATGAAGAATTTTCAGCTGTCAGTCAGCGCCCGCTCTTTTTTACTTGCTCATTGCACCTTTTGCCTTGTGCCGTGTAAATACAGACAATCAGATACGGGTCACTTTTAAAAATGATGTAAGCTGGTCATCAAAACATCCAAACAGTCACAAAATTAGAACTGGCCATCAAGATCTGCAGTGTAAATATGGCCTTAGATATCCAGACATGCTCATGGAAGTTTCTACAAACCGCATTGGTAAATGGGTAAACTGATTCATGCTAGTCTACCACAGATGCCCATGAAATATAAAATAATGCAAATGAATGAAAATAAATTTGTCAAACTGTGTCAATTTTTAAGTAATTATCCATATCTTTCATTGTTCCAGTGACTGATGACATGTACGCAGAACAGGCTGAAGACCCCGAGAACCCGCTGCGCTGTCCCATCAAGCTCTATGACTTTTACCTCTTTAAATGGTGAGGCTAAAATGCTAGTGCTAATCTTTCATACATGTCGATTTTTGTTTAACTGTCTTGGCTTTGGTATAATATACAAATAAGTGCTGTCTTTACAAAATATTCCCCTCTTCTTCATTTGACTATCGTCAGCCCTCAGACTGCTAAGGGTCGCAATGACACGTATTACCTGACGCCGGAGCCTGTAGTGGCACCCAACAGCCCCATCTGGTACTCCACTCAGCCAATCACGAGCGAGCAACTGGAGCACATGCTAACACGCATCATGATGGTGCGGGAAATCCAAGAGATTATCTCCATCACGCAGACCAGCGTTCAATGAGAGACGACGCTTAAGGGGAAAAGGAAAGAAGTAATAGATGGATGGAGATCTCCAGCGTCATCCAAACAGACTGAATTACATTTCCTCTGCGGCATCTCTTTATATTCATCCACCACTAAAAGGAGAATCAAGTGGAGTTTTGGATGAGCTGGATTACGTGCATAAAAGCCTTTTGTTTTGTTTTGTTTTTAGAGACAGGAACTTCTTTCTGTTTGTTCGCCTAATGAAACGTATTCAGATCCCAGATCCCTTGATGTGTGCATTTCTCTCTTTCTGCCATGTATGTTACGCTCCATCCCTTCTCCCACTGTCCGGTTTCATTTTCTTTCAATAAGTGCTGAACTTTAAGGATCTGGTGGTTTCGAAGAATGATTTAAGCCATTTTTGTTTTGGTAGTGGACTGGAACACATCAGGTGTTTAAAAACATGGCCTCATCCATCTGTAACCGTTAACACATCCCTCGCTCGCCTCCGGGAGCTTTTGCAGTAGCAGAGATTGCGTACCTGAGGAGTGTATTATACATCAAGACTTTTTGGTTCTGTTTTTATTTGATTTTTTTTTTATATATATATATATATATATACACTCACACATGCATCTATGGTAATCTGATATGTATTGATATTATAGTGGTGCTGGAGAACTGAAGCCTGTGTTTTCAAACATGCATTTTTGTACAGTGAATCACCTGTGGTGTGTTGTCTTTGAGTCTTTCTGCAGTCTGGCACACAAACACAACACACAGGCAGAATAAATTTCTTTGTAAGTAGATCTTCGAGTTATGACATGCATTGTTGAATTAAGTGCAGCAATTTACACTGAGGTGTTTTTACAAAGGATTTAAATGAGGGATTTGCCAAAGCGTTTTTTTTCTTTTCTTTTTTTACGTTTAGTGGCTAATTCATATTAATTTGTATAATACCATTCTGACATTTTAGTACACTTTGCTCATGCCCAATAGCGGGGTGAGGTTTGAGGACAGGCCTCTCTTTAAAACATGAAATCTTATAATTTAGCCACTTTTCAAATTATGTTTACTCATGAAATCGGGCTGAACTTGAAGTTGTAGATTTTTAAATAAGTTTCACGTTATTGGTGATATAAAAATTTTATATATATATAATTTGGTTGAAAAAAATCTTTATAATATTTAGAAATGTATTAACAAAGGGATTTAAGCAAAGCTCCAAATGTTCCAAATTCAGATTTAAAAATGACAAAATAAAACTCATAATATTTCATTCATTCAAGAACCAAATAAACAATATTTATTTATGGCAATATCACACTTGTAGCAGTGCGATATGACTTTGAATTGAGACTGGTGGGAGGCATACTTTGGCACGTCGCCACAGGCTGAGAGTCTTAGTGTGCTTTCACACCTAGGCTTTTTTTTTTTTAGAACCTGTCTCGTTTGCCCAGTTAGCACGGTTCGTTTGGCATATGTGAAACCAGTAATCGCGCTCGGATCTGCGCCAAATCAAACGGTCCGAGATCGCCTGAATGAGGTGGTCTCGGCTCGATTGTAGTGAGAGCGAAACGATCCGAGCCCGGCTATATAACAGTGATTTATGGATATGTAATAGGCATATATGGCTATAAGAAGAGAGAATTATGAGTAGGGCGAAATGTCAGTCCTACCGGTAAATGTACGTTTCATGTTAAATATGAAACTGAAAGCATGCTGAACTATTAACAAGAGCTGCTTATCTATTAGGAACATTGATCAAACTGCAGTCTAGCCAAGGGCTATGCATGAGAGAGTCTTACCTCTGATTTATATCTGGTGACGACATCTGTGGGCGTCACCATTCAAAATTAAAGTGCAGATTTCCGCTTATAATGTGTTTGTTCATCGCCATAAATTAAAATAAAGACGCATGATAGTGGAGCGGGACTCTGCAAAATAAACCATGAAACTCTCACCAAAGTGAGTAGAGTTAACTCACACGTGACTTGTTTCATCTCTTTTGGTCCGTTTAGAAACTTTGCTGTATGAAAGTGAACCGCACCAAGAACAAAGAGCAACAATGTAACAATTTTAATCCTGTTTTGGAACAACTGAATCAATATACAAGTGTGAAAACACCCTTTAAGAGTCCCATCAGTGCTGATATACAACAATGTTGCTTTCCTACAAGTGTGATACGGCATTTATACAAAAGTTCAACGGCACAATCGTGTATATAAAAATAAAATCAAACACGGAGAGTCTAAAAGTCCTTTTGTATGAGTAAATACTTTCTTTCGTCACTCGTTCACATCTGCAGCTGACGTCAGAACAGCAGAAACCGTTAATATTTTACCAACGTCACTTTAAAAGTAGTATTTAAATGATTCTCTAGCACAGGGGTCACCAAACTTATTCCTGCAGATTTTAGCTCCAACCCTAATCAAACACACCTGAACAAGCTAATCAAAGTCTGACTAGGTATACTTAAAACACCCAGGCAGGTGTGTGGAGGCAAGTTGGAGCTAAACCCTGCAGAGACACCGACCCTCCAGGACTGAGATTGGTGACCCCTGCTCTAGAGTAATGTATAAAATGATGACAAAACAGGTGATTTTGCTCACATTATAAGATTTAAAGGCTGAAAAACATGAAATCTCATCAGTCTAGAGACATTTTCCAGTAATTCTGTTGAAATCGGGATATCTCAACAATTAACCCCGAAAAAGCCAAAGCAAACACTACCAGACTATGGTATAAATACAGCACTTCAACATACAAAAGAGAGCGATCAACTTAGAAAGTCACTTACCTGTTTAATAATGATTTGATCAGCTGTAGTTCGAAATTATGCAGTTTTTCTCTTTTAGGGACTTAATATGCAGTCTCTGTGGATATCTTTGGTATGACAGGCTGATGTGCGGTATCTACAAGATCATTTTTCTTGTCGGCTTAGTCCCGTTATTAATCCGGGGTCGCCACAGTGGAATGAACCGCCAACTTATCCAGCAAGTTTTTACGCAACGGATGCCCTTCAAACCACAACCCATCTCTGGGAAACATCCACACACACATTCACACACACACTCATACACTACACACAATTTAGCCTACCCAATTCACCTGTACCGCATTTCTTTGGACTGTGGGGGAAACCGGAGCATCCTGAGGAAACCCACGCAAATGCAACGAGAACATGCAAACTCCACACAGAAATGCAAACTGAGCCGAGGCTCGAACCAGCGACCTTCTTGCTGTGAGGTGACAGCACTACCTACTGCGCCACTGCTTCGCCCATCTCCAAAATTATAAATATGTAAAATAGGCACTATCCTTAAAAATGAACTGCATAGTTGCAATCAAAACAACTATATTTTCACCTATAAAAAAAAAGCACACGCACGTATATGAACACACATTTTTGAAGCATTGGATCAATCAAAGGCGTTTCAGAATTTAATTTGATCTTTAGCATAATTCACTACTGTATCGTCATGGACTGATATGAAGTTCAGCCTGTAGAGCCATGACATAACATCCTGTTTGCATGAATACAGTATAAAATGATGGTCTACACAAGAGCATAGTATCATAATACTGCAGCCCTACCCTCTAATTAACAACAGATTTTTGCATTTGTGACTTCCAATTATTCTGATTGCTTGTTAAGTAATCAGTTATAGTCTAATTATAAAAAACTGTCTTTATATAAATCTATATGCAAGTATTTCACCTTAAAGGATATGGGTTTGTTTATTTTTGACACTGATAACTAATGAAGACTTGATTATATCTTTAGTTTGCAGAACATTTTTATTGGTCTTTTATTTATTTCATACAAAACATCCGAGCAGAAGGTCCATTTTCAACCATGTCAAATCCAGTCCTCGATGCAAAAGTAAGAAGAGATCATAAATCTTATTCTTTTGCCGGCAGTGGGATCTCCAGCCTCTTCAATGCGTTGATGAAGTATTTGGGAAGGGGACAGGACACCGTAATGTCTCTGTGACCTTTGAACCCTGGCAGGACGATCCTTCGGGAGTGTAGATGAAGAGGCAGGTATCGTGTTTTACTCTGAACCAGGCCCAGCCGGCGCAGCGTACCCTCAGGCAGCTTCTGTAACCCGAAATGTGAGACTCGTGTGGTCATTCTTTAAACGTGACAATGAGTCATGTCTCAAGAAAACACACTAACACCACCACCATTCATTATTAACACACACTACGTTCATGGGCAAAACAAAATAATTGAATGGTAGTCTGCAACATACTGTCAGTGGGCTACTTTTAACCCTTAATCTAATTTGTATAGATACAGTAGTCACCATTTGAAGTGGATCATCCCTTTCATCAGAGTTGTTTTAAAACTATTAAACAGCACCCATTTTTATTTTAGGACAATGTTGAGAAACATTTTTGATTGACTTTGAATGTTGACTACTGTATATATTTAAGTCATTAATATTTTTTAATAACCCCAATAGGGTTATTTTCCAATGAGTATTTCAATTAGTGCCCTGTGTAACGTTAAAATGTTTTCCACTAGATTACAATATACTTTGAAAAAAATCATTTGCAACCTATTTTGTTAGACTCAAAATAAGTAATCTCTGAAGAAAAATTAAATGAGTTTGTTTTTTTCATAGTGTTTTGGACAACAGTTATCTGTGCAATTTCTATTTGTAAAGTATTTTAACAATCTCTAATAATCAAAAGCAACATGAGTTTGTTGTACTTATTTACTTATACGTTTCCTCTAACAATCCCAAAGAGGAAAATAAATGAGTGGAAACAAACAAATGAATGAAAATAAAATAATGCTGGAATTAGAAACAAACAAATAAATGAAAATAAAATAATGTTGAAATGTAAATAAACAACCAGTCAAAATAAATAAATGAACTAATTAACAAATAAATAAAAAGAAAATAAACAATTGGGAAAGAAAAATAATTTCTCTTAGTAAATGTTTTGTTTGAGTTTCTCAATCTTTCGAAAGGTTGATTTCAAAATCAGACAAAAACACATTGGTATACATTTTAAATAGGTGGTAAAAAATGCAGACGCTGTAAATTGAAAAAAAAAAAAACACAAACAATATAAGGGTAAGCATAAATCATCACACAAACAATATAAGGGGGTAAACTTAAGGTAAACTTTTGAACATGGTCATTTTAGGAAATTTAATTATCATTTTGTCTTGAGAAGTGTGTGTATAAGTACTATATATATATATATATATATATATATATATATATATATATATACATAAACACACATACATATCAGGGCAGCACGATATCGGAAAAATCTGAGATTGCGATATTTTGTGTTTTTGCGATATACTGTATCTATACAATTCCAGCAAACGATTGAATATCACTATTTGGAAAGCGTTTTTGATTACACTTTATTTTAAGGTTCAATTCTCACTCTTAGCAAACCATTCTGACTAGTGCTTTAATTAGTCAGAATGGATTGGTCCTTAAAGTGTAACTAAATGTATTAGTTTGGGATGATTGTGATGCAGCGTATCATGCATTTCATGCAATAAACAAATTACAAGCATAGATAAATGCACTTAAGCAAAGATAAAAGTGAAATAAACAGTGCATGCTTCATTGTTTTGTATATGTAAATGTAAAAACTACAATGTAATGTCAACTCAGCATTGTTGATCTATGTGATGTGACTACTGCAGATGCACACATTGTGATATCGATGCTGAAATGATATACAGTATTGTGCAGTCCTAATATAGATTTATTTTATGTAAAATAGCTTATTCAGAAATTCAGAACAGCATTAAACAAACAAAAACACATAATCTATGATGTTGAAATTGTACATACACTGTTAATAACTGTTAATAAACATACAAAACTCAACTGTACCCCCCAATGTTTTTGCAGTGCGTCAGACAATCACTAATAGCCACTTACATAGATTGGCAATTACCAATGACATTAAAGTTTCAAAAGTAATCACCAAAATACTTGTCTGCTGTAGTTAATTTGATTACCACCCATATTAAATGTAACTGTAACAAGATACAGTTACTCATATTTTGTATTTTTAATAGGTAATTAAGTTACGTGTATTCCATTACTCCCCAACCCTGCACACTGCATCTATAAATCAACCACAAACGTGAATAGCAGCATAGGATGATCCTCATTTAAGGATCTACAAGTGAATATATTAATCATACCTGGGGTGCTAGTTTGCTCCAGTGGGAATATTTATGGTCGCCAAGAATGGGGCAGGTCAACGCTAAAGCCATGTGCACTCGAAGTTGGTTTTTCACACCTAAAACACACATTATAATGGATTCTTGTCAGCATGTTTCAGTTTCTCCTATTACATATTGGTCATTTGGTGAAAAAATATATCACATTCAGAACTTTTCCTATCACTAATTTCAGATTTTCTTTTAATATTTCTTTCTAAACAAAGACATAAATATGTGGACATGGTAAAATGTACAGTTGAAGTCAGAATTATTAGCCCCCTTTTGAACTTCTTTTTCTTTTTAAAACTTTTCCCAAACGATGTTTAACAGAGCAAGGAAATTTTCACAGTATGTCTGATAATATTTTCTTCTGGAGAAAGTCTTATTTGTTTTATTTCGGTTGGAATAAAAGCAGTTTAACATTTTTATGAACCATTTTAGGGTGAATAATATTAGCCCCTTTAAACTATTTATTTTTTTTTTTTTGATAGTCTACAGAACAAACCATTGTTATACAATAACTTGCCTAATTACCCTAACCTGCCTAGTTAACCTAGCTAAGCCTTTAAATGTCACTTTAAGTGTCTTGAAAAAGATCTAGTCAAATATTATTTACTGTCATCATGGCAAAGATAAAATAAATCAGTGATTAGAAATGACTTATTAAAACTATTATGTTTAGAAATGGGTTGAACAAAATCTCTCTATTAAACAGAATTTGGGGGGAAAAATAAACAGTGGAGCTAATAACTTAGGGGTGCTAATAATTCTGACTTCAACTGTATGTGTTGTAAGTGTTTATTTACTGAATAATGAGTAATTTCATCAGAGTTTGTTATCTGTTGCCATCTTTGTTGATTTATTTGTCAATGCACTGCACTGTGTACCTTTCTTATTTAGTTTTTGTCTTGTTTTAAGAGATAAAAACAATAGAAAGCGTATCATTATGGGTCGTAAATAGTATCAAAACGGAAGCAAGAATAATAATTACCTTGATATGTTAGAGAAAATGTACTTAGAACATAACAATGTAAGTGTATTAATGCATGTCAATTATAATGTGCTGTTATACTCCATAGAACTCAGGTCTATCTAAAGCATAGGTCTCAAACTCCATTCCTGGAGGGCCGCAGCCCTGCACAGTTTTGCTGCAACCCTAATTTAACAGTTTATTCAAATAATCAAGGTGTTCAAGACTACTGTTGACCTTATTCTTTAATGTGGAAGTATGCTCATTTTTGCGATTGTTTTAGAACCTCTGATTCAGGCTTAGCTGCCTATGGGAGAAATGACTAGGAACAATAAACCGCAGAATACAGTCAAACAGGTGTTTGCATGATTACACGGACAAAGCAGAATGATATAAAAAGAAAATGTCAGTTTGCAACATCAAGCAGCATAACAAACTGTTTTTAATGTCTGAAAATGAAAGGAAGTGAATGAGACCAAAAGTCTCGGGTTAAAAAGATTCAAATGGCTGCTCCTGCTCGTACGCAAACAATAAGGTGAATAGAGTATTAAGCAGATGTCAGTTGGAGGTGGCTGAAACAAAACTATGCAGAGCTGTGGCCCTCAAGGAATTAAGTTTGAGACCATTAATCTAAAGCAGAAGTGGGCAAACTAGGTCCAGGAGAGCCGGTGTCCTGCATAGTTTAGCTCCAACATCAATCAAACAGTTGGAGCTAAACTTTGCAGGACACCGGCCCTCCAAGACCGAGTCTGCCCATCCCTAATCTAAAGGGTTAATGGTGCCAACAGATGATCATCCGTAAAAATGACAAATTTGACCCCTTCCCAACAGGGAAAACCACTGACAATCAAGAATGCATGAATATATGGTGTCATGGGTTAGCAATCAAAACATGTCATTATAATGAAAGTCAATGGGGCAAAAACAGCCACCAACATAACGAAAGGGTAGTTAATTGAGCCATAAATAAAATGAGAGTGTTACAGCATATATAGGCAAAGCTAGTTACAATGGAAGAGTTCAGATCCAAAAACCCTGAAAGCCATCTGAAATTTTCTCCTAAAATTAAAAAGTAAAACCTCTGAGCCTACACACAACAGACAAATGGCACTTAGAGGTTTTTGCATCTAAACTTTTTATTTATAATAATCAGGGACTATACATCCCACTTAGGAATATTGAGTCGGGTGTAGTTTTCAGGAGTCACAGTCAGTCAATACCTGTGAGAGGCTGGAGTTCCACTAAACTGCAGCCGCTGGTGTTGTCCAGAACTTGATACCTCGTGACTGCAGCATGTGCCTGTCTGTGAGCTCGCACTCTCGTCACTCCATCTCCATCCTCATTCACTTTAAACAGCGGACTCAGAGCCATCTAACAGAATAAACAAATACTTCACATTAATTATAGTAATGCAAGACACACGAGGGGGGAAAAAAGCAAGATAAGCTGTGACTTTCAAGCTATCCTGGCTGAATTGAATACCCTAACTCAGTTATGAAAGCATGCTAATTTAAGTTATGAGTTTTTAGTTGTGTTTAGGGCCACTTTTTACAACCATTAGAATGAAAAAATATGTACAGTGGGGGGAAAAGTATTCAACAAGTCATGTTTTTTTTTTTTTGGAAAAATATTCTAAAGCAGCTGTTGACATGGAATTGAACCAGATTTTGGTAAAAACCCAAATAATATAAACATAAAATTGAAAATAAATCTGAAAAATGTGTTAATTAGTTGTGTAATAACAATGAAATGAAACAAAGAGAAAGTACTGAACTACTTAAATGTATTTAATGCATTATATAGAAGCTT